CCAATCTGCAGAATCTGTTAGTTCAATCTCTAACGTTCTGCTCTCCCTGCTTTTTCTCATAGTAGCTTTGCCTCGTCTGTTCCTGTTTGGCTGTGACACAATCCTGGAGAGAAATATCAGCTGTGCTGACACCTTTGTTTATATATGCTGGAGATCGGCCTTTTTCCAGTGCAGTCCTGTTTCTCTGACTGTGACTGGGTGGATGTGCTCTCTTCGTCCTCTGGCATGGGAGCTGGCTCGGAGCTCGTCTGCCTGGCTGTGTGTTTCCTGGACGGGGCCGCCTTTTACAGTTGCCTTTTGTATCTCTGCTTCTGTCTCCTTGAACCCCAGTCGGCCTCAGCAGATGGCCGCTCACACTGAGCCTGGTTCTGCTGGAGGTTTCTTCCTGTTAAAAGGGAGTTTTTCCTCTCCACTGTCACTACAAGCATCCTTAGTGTGAGGCATTGCATTCGAGTCAATGAGTCGATGCAATCAACTGGTTTTTCTTAGATAGAACACTTTGAATCAATTTGACTGTATGATCTGGTTGAACTGTAAAGTGCCTTGAGATGACATGTGATGTGAATTGGCGCTATATAAATAAACTGAATTGAATGAAGTTGAATTGAACTTTACTACTAGAAGCTGCTTTGTTTTAATCTGTAACATTAAAGCCTAATAATAGAGGCGGTTTATGCGTGTGGACATAGTGGAATAGGTAAAAGGGAAAAAAAGGGCTGGTAGGGGAAATTACATTAAAAATTCTTTGACTTTTATAGATACAAATAACTTCTAGGGTTTGAAATATGTTGGAGGTCGTAATCGATTCCTTTAAGTGCCTGCTTCGTTTTAATCTTTCCCAGTTTTTAAGGTGCTCTTACACCAGAAATGTAACTGTAGAGCCAGTCATTCACCCAGAAATTACTTTTTTACTCTTAGGCTAAATTCACTTTTCTACATAGAAATCCTTTTGTAGTATTGAGTTAATGGGGTAAGGAAAGGGACATCCAGCAGCAAGTGCACAGGGAGAAAAATAAAAAACAGTACTAGTTGTTCCATCGCCTCCGGACCCTGGGAGTCCCATAGATACCGGCTTAATTGTCCAATGTGCCACTGTGCAGCATGAACTATGTCCTGCTGAAAACATCTCAGCACCTGGAGAGCAGAAAAAACAACGCTAACGCAATACAATAGCAACCAGAAGAAAACTGGTGCCCTAGCAACTGTAGATGATTAGACCATCTTCTCAAGACACCGTGGCAACCACCTGTAAAAGCACCTCCAAACACCACAGAGATTCGTTTTTATACTTTATGACGCCTTCTGAACAAGAGGTAATCTGACAGACTTTGCCAGAACATCTCTTTCTGTCCCACTGTGAAGCCTTTGAACAACTGAACGACTCAGTGTCTGAAAACTAACAGAAGGTAGAGGATTGATAAAACTCATTGGGTCGATATCAATCCATCCTGGTGTTCGTTAAAGATAGACACCCACCAAAAGTAAACATGAGGATGGTTTAAATGCTCACAGATTAGACTAAACTGCTTCTGTGTTTTAGAGATTTTAGATGAATTAAGATAGAATAAGCCAATTTATATGGTAGATTAGGTCAGACTGGTTAGCTTCAACGTTCAGGAACAACTAATCTGGATTTTAACTCAGTCTTTTTTCATGTCCCACTTCAGTCCTCAATAATTACTGTCCTGCAACTTTTAATGAGCATCCCTGATTAAATAAACCTGGATCTAATGAAATGTGTTGTTGCCAACCTCTGCAGAGGTGAATGACTGAATCCTAAAGAGGGAAATAAGTCTTTTAAAGCAGGCGCGTGCAGGATAGGGGATGCATGCAGAAAGTGCAGGAGGTTTGGGAAACCCTATCCTAGGTCATGATTGGCCAGCTCCAATCCTCCAGAGATGCCATCAGATGTTTCATCATTACTGTTTGAAATACATATGTCATCATGTTCTTTAGAGGAATGCTAATGAACCATCGGTGGATCTGTGGATTTAGGGGTGTTGAATCCTAAAACAGGAAGGTGAACCAGGCTGTGGCTTTGATAGAATCATCCAATGCTGCGGTGAGAAGATCCTGGTGATCGGTTTTAGATCTGCTCCCTTACATTAAAAACACAGTTCAACTGAAATCCTGTCTTTATTTTGACATCTTTCAGCTTAAAATTCTAACATAAACTACTTGCAGCACAGCAAACTGTTTTGTTTTTATTTTTGTCACCTCCTGTTTGTGTAATTGGTTATTTACTCCATATAACAGACATTTAACATCTCAGGAAGGTCTGCTAAACACAGACAGATCTGCCAGCTCATTGGTTTGTGTTCTGACTCTGCGTGTGCGCTGCTGATGGTGTGCGAGTAGGTTTGGTCTCATGACTGGTTAGGCTGATGTTTCCCTGAGGCTGTTTTGATTGGACCTGCAGCTGAACTCTGATATTTAATAATGAGCAGAGCCGACCACTGACACACACACACACACAGACGAGCCAAACGACTGAATCATAGTGTGAACTATAAACAACTAGTGGCTCATTAGATGAGGATTTGGCCCTGACACTTTGCTGCTCCCAGGTCTGCTGCATCATTAAGCCATTTCTGTTTTAGGTTCAGCCTGACAGGGAAATAAACTTAAGTCTGACATCCTATATCTCTTCAGTGACACGTTGGGTATAACTGAATGAGGGCAAAGAAATGTGATTAATATGCATCGAAAGATTTGATGCTTTGTTGTATCATATTCTTAAGTATCTAGCATAATCAAAATCAGGCAGCTGTGTGGTTGCCTTTGAAATAATAACAGGTTAAAGAAAATGAAAGCTCATAAAAGATGTGCTGGTTGAGGTCTCCCTCTGCAGGTGCAAACAGAGTAATGCAGAAATGAGTGTGAAGATTTTAGCTGCTGTTTTACATTGGGAAAGGACACATTATACCTATAGATCTGCTATAAGGAAAAAAACAGGATGGTCAACTGCAGCAAAATGATGGAAAGAAAGAAGAATTGTGACAAATGTTAATGTGATGACCAGGACACATGCAAACAGGCAGAGAATTTCTACACTCAAACAAGTGAAACGTTTTACACAAGATCATGAGGGCAGTCACATTTAGTTGCAGGAATCTGCAAAAAAAAAAAAACTAAAGACGGGTGGATGGACACACTAAAGGAAGCCATAGGAAACACCTGGCAAATTATCATCAAGATAAAATAAATAACCAGAGGTTTGTATTGCATTTTAATGAAATGAAAGCATATTACTACCTCTATACTTATACTATTTGGTTTAAATCATTGCAATGCAGCTGTTTTTCATTGTCCCAATAGCCGGTAAATCACTGCACTGAATAAAGCCTTTGAAGCCTTACAGGTTTTCTGATAACTCAGTCCAGTTCCCATGTCCTTACTAAAGAAAATCCTCCCACAGCACCATGCTGCCACCATCATGCTTTCTTTTTGTGTTTAGGATGACCTTCTGTTTAAATGTATAAAACTGAACATAATAAAATGAGACATGTTCATTGAATTCTTTGGCACAACCAAAGCATCACTTTAATTCGCTCATCCAAAAAAAGTAGAAAAGTTATATCAGTTATTATTCATGCTAGTAAAGAAATACAAATAAACAACCCTGAAGCCAGCAAATTTAAGAGGAGGGAAAAAAGCTTTTTTCTGGCAGAAAAGTTTAGATCTTTTTTGATGTGTAAGTGCAAAATTCGTGATCCATCCAATAGAAACATCACGGGTCCAAAACTGTTAGCAGTTACACTGGATTAATATTGGTTGGATTTAGGACGTAACGTTGGACAAAGGCCAACGTCAAAAGTTAACGTCAGTAAAACGCAAGTTTTTTTTAAATCCATCTGACGTCGACATTTAGATGATATCAATTTCTGTTGGCTAGTAACGATTCTCCAGCGTCTGCTCAACCTTGAGGTTAATCCAACTTTTGTTTTTGCTTCATTATCCAATGGTTAGCAACGTTGGGGTACGACATTGTTTCAACGTTACATCAACATCCAGTAGCCACTATATTGAGGCAAGCAGCTTCATGTTTCTACATTCAGTCAATCAGTGCCAAATCATCCCAGCTGCTGGGTAATCAGGTTTTGAAGAAGCTTCACATCTTCGTCTGAGATTACGTCTGTACAGATGGAAACCGTGATGCTCTGTGTTTTCTTTTAATGAGGAAATGAAGATCGCAGCTGAGTGAGCGCAGTCAGTGTAGCTACCATTAACGGTTCAGTGCAAACACAACCTGAAATCAGCCAACAAATATCACAGTCTATGAGCAGCAACAGGAGGGCAGCATTTCACTGCTTAAATGGAGTGTCTGTCTTTCAATATGCAAATAGTTCCTACATGAAATAAGGCGTATCCAGTTTTTCAGTGACCAAAAGTGCTGCAACCAAGTTTGTTTCTCGGTGTTATTCTGATTCTCTCATTTTTAAAAAGTTTGTTTTTATATAACTAAACATTTTACACCCTGAATATGAAAGGTTTAACACAAAAGTGCATATTCTCTATTATTGGGGACATTTTTTGCTTTTCTTCTGTCATGAAACAGACTTATTTTTATTGTCTGTAGTTTACTTATGGGAGATTTTTCACTAGTAGACTTTTTTAAAATTCAAAGGTTCTGATAAGGATCTAAAAAAAGCTCGGAAATCAAAAAAAATCTTTCATTGTAGTAATCTCACAGCAGAAAATATTTTAAAAACATTAAAATAAAATTCAAAAAACATCATAAGGAAAATGAAAAGTCTCTTTGTGGAAATCTGTAAAAAGAAAAAAAAAAAAAAAACAGAAAAATATTAAGAATCCTGTCAAGAACAAAAAAAAAATCTAAAGAAAGAACTGCCTGTAATAAATATTAGTACTTTAGCTTTTGGGGGTTGAGGGGAAGGGGTACGGAAGAGGATTAGGGCCACTGGAAAAAATAAAAAATATATTAACTGATTTTTAAAATATTATTTCAGTTTAATATGGAAAAAAGTATTTTTTGACTTTTTTCTCAGAATTCTGACTGTTTTCAGACAGCTAACAAACATGTTAGCATCAAGCCGTAGCCATTTTTTAGAGACTAGCTCTCTTGTTTTAATCACCTTCTGCTCTTCCATTAATGAAATACCATCACCGGGGATCCCTCGAGTATGTAAAAAGTTGCCTAATTCTGTCATTTTCCACCAATGTGTTATAGTTCTTCCCAAACAACTCACATATTTATCAGTGAAGCTGAGTGCTCCCACATCTCTTCCTTCATGGGGCCCATCTACATTAAGATATCAAATTCTGAGAAAAAAGTCAGAAATCTGACTTTTTTTCCATATTAAACTGAAATAATATTTAAAAATCAGTTCACTTTTTTTTCAGTGGCCCTAATCCTCTCCCATAGGGGGTAAATTTGCTTCACGTTTAAAAAAAATATAAAAATGGACAAATAAATGAGTTAATGTAAAAAAAGAACCATTACCTCTTACATTAAATCAAAAGGGATGATGTCTGTATGATCTGAATTAATGATATATAAATAATTTGGATTATTATTGTACTCAATAATAATTATTATTTCATATTAAATCATTGCATAAGATTCTACAGAGGTCTCTTTGTCTTAGACCTCCTTCCAAATGGCTTCCATTCATTAAAAAAAGGTTTGTGCTCATCCTTTCTACTCTGGGGATGGCTGCAATATTCTTCTTAACCAAATGGCCTAAATCGGCTGTCAAGAAATAATCAAAAAGGTTTAAACAGCTGAACATGTTAAAAACGAGTCTTAATGATGACCATCGAGTTCACTGCAGGCAAATGGAGGCAAACTGTGAGATTATTTAACTTTAGAAGAAGACGGATTCATTTTAAAGCTTTTTATAAACCCTTACCAGCAGTCAATGATATTATTATTATTTAGCGTTTCATTTTTCAAAAACACATTTTTAATAAAAGGTTTTAATAAATAATTTAAAGCCTTTGTAATGAGAATGTATAATAAAGCACAATAAAATAATTTATAAATCTTCCAAAGGCATATAAAAACTTCTTTGGCGTAACTTCCCCCTGAAACAGTGAAGGCTTTACAAAAGCGATAAAGGGGTCAAAGGCTTTCCTCCTCTCTGTAAATACAACATGGAGTCATGTGAAAGCTATTTGGCTGCAGATGGCAGATAGTAGGGGTGAAACAGCCTCTCCTGGGCGCAGATTTGCAGGGCGGCATGCGTGTGCATCAGTAGCTGTGGAAACCGGGAGGTGAAGTAGCGGACGAAGCCTTCGGGCAGCTCGCCGAGGGTGTCCTGTACCTCCGACGGCAACTCGTGGTAGTGATGTTTCTGTAACATTTTGAAAGCAAACCAAAATCTTAGAAACAGGCTCCAGATGCGAGGAAGTGGACTGGGTAACGAGGCGACGTGTGGGGACACCTTATTCCTCATGGCTCTGAGCAGATCCCGAACAGAGTTTCCTTTGTACGTCCTGAACCGCCTCAGATCTGAAGGGAACAAAAACACAGATCACCAACTAATAGATCTGTTTCTATGCTCAGATGTGCAGGTAATTGTTTTCTCATAGCAGATAGTGCTTTGCAAAAAAAAATAAAAAATTCCCACCCCTTAAATTTACATCACATTACACCTGCAAACTTCACTGTTTTGTTGGGAGTTTGATGTTAAAAACACAAAGTTAAACATAGAGGCTGTTCATAAACTTAGCTCATAAAAATCAAACCATGAAATGTAGCGTGTGCATTACATTACATTACGTTACCTAGCAGTTACCCTCAGAAGCACCTATTTGATCTAATCTCAGTATAAATGAAGGCCTCCGAGAGCATTAGAAAAAGGTGGCAACAGGCCAAGTAAGCAACAGCGTAAACAGACCAAGGAGAGGGAAGAAGAGATATTTAAATATATATCTATATAAAACATGATCCCATCTTTTAAAACATGCTACCATGTTATGTTTGAATCGTCTGTATCCAAAAACTGCAAGGAGAGCATTAATCAGAGGTACCTCTGGAGGAGCTGCAGTGATCCACTGCTCAGTGGGTTTATTCATTGGAAAGAATAACACTGGATTATTGACTCTGTAAATCTGGCCTATATGCCAGGAGGGAAGAAGGGAAAGATAAGAGTTTATAGAAGGTAAGAAGTACTGTTTGCCAGAAACCAGCAGGGAACACTGCAACGCCCAATAAATATGTTGTTGGGGAGAGATGGGAAATGACTATACCTGAACATAGATCATTGTAATTAAAACTGATTAATGAAAATGAGGGAAACAAAACCTGATTGTGCTTTCAAACCTCTCAGCCTGGCTGGGACTGACAGATGTTTTTTTAAGGTTGGTTTCCTGAGTTCAGACAACAGCCCTGTCCTTAACACAAGCCTTTAACATCGGACCACCACAGCAGGCCATTGGCTTCATAGAGACTGATTAGATCCAGAAGTATTGCTACAGACCCATGCAGGCTGGCTATGGACTGTTTCTAATGTCAACAACTGAAATCAGTGCAGAAATATAAAAATGTGCAGATTCTTTGAATCAGCTGTGAAATCCTAACACATATCTGCTCACACCAGATCCCTCATCCTCCCAGACCTTTCTGACACAGACCTCGTGTTACTAGATTACTGGACTATCTGTGCATGTTTGTTCTGTGCAGGTGCACAGGGTTTATTTTAGTCCCAAAAAAACCCAAAGGCCTACACATCACCATCTGCACAGTGAAGCATGGTGAAGGCAGCATAATACTGTGGGGGATGCATTTCTGTAAGAGGAAACTGGTCCATTTTTTTTTTTTTTTTGGAAGAAGGAGGAAAGTTTTCAGTGTTTAGATGCTTAAACCTGGTAGAGATACGCCTCAAAGGACTTGCATCTTTGCAAAAGGAATAAAGGAAAAGAATAAAGTATATATATTTTTTCTATTACTTTAGAATTACAGGCTTTGTAGTGCTGGTCTCCCCAAACACCCCCCACAAAAACGCATAGAAGTTTACGGGTTGTTACTAATAAAGCTGGAGGTGTAATGAACACCTCTGGATGCCACTGCACCTGTCTGTAGGGGGACAGAGATGTGCATCCTCCAGTTGGTTCGGACTACCGCTCTTCCTGCCGTCTCCAACCTGACCACGATGGGACTCTCCGCTGGCTCCTTCTCTATGCGGTCACTGACGTCCTTTCAGGAAGGAGGAATACCAAAAGAAAAGACACAACAAAACTGAGCATCAAGGAAGCAGACCCCACTCTTGCGATTGAATAAAAATGATCAAGTACCTGGAAAAAGAGCAGCTGCTTCTCAGGGCTCCAGAAGAAGGGATGTTTAAGCACACAGGCGGTGGAGGGCCGTGAATCTGCATCAGAGCTGATCATTTGCTCAATCAGGTCCTTCGCTATGACGTCATCTAACAGACATGAGATTTCCAGGATTGTATCATTTCAGTTTGAATATGTGGACATTAGAATGGAGAGGCTAGCTGCTTTAAACTCAGATCATTACTGATCATTGAAAGAGTGATCAACAAATCTGCTATCCAGGTAAAGCTCTTTCCTAAAGAGTGGCTGCAGGCTAAAAATAAAAGTCTTAGGGTGGATAGTATGAGGGGATCAAAATTGTTCATTTTGGTATCTGATCTGAAAATATTTTAGATACAATTTATTTGACAAACCAGGAAGCTAAAAGGAATCAGCACTGGGTGAAACACCAAGAATATCCAGACTGCTGTAAGCGGAATTAGGAGATCAACTCATTGTAAATCAAATCCTTTTGATTAAGAATCAGTAAAGTTTGCTGCCTGGGGCGGTTTAGACCTGCTCTAATACTGGCAGAGAAAGACATAGCAATGATCTTTCAAAAGGTAATAATTACTGTAATGAGATAAAAATCCTCATTTTTACTCAATCTGAAGTCAATCTGTGCCGCAGGAAAATATGAGGAATAATCAAAGCATCCATTATTCTCCACAACCTAGAGGCCATATTTTACACATTCAAAATTATCTCTGTATAAACAGGACAAGGTTTAAATATGAATTATTAATGATTATAAATACTTAATAACGCAGCTTCTCTGCTACAGGACTTGAGATTGGCCAGAGTTTGAACTCTGGAAGTGAAACCAGCAGGAAGAAGAAAGCTTCCAATTGACGCTGCTAAAAGTGCAAATTCATCACATTCATCACCAACGTGACAGAGATGGCTCTGCTTGGTCCAACTCTATTTAAAGACATCAAAGCTTACATGTAATTGGTTTTCTGATCCAACAAGTCTTTTCAACATGTCAGGGACATAAGGGGGTTTGGAAGATGAAGAAAAAAGCCTGTATTGGTTTGAAAGCCCAGATTTCTGTCAATCATTTGTAGCAAACCAAAAACTGATTTAGATAGATAAGTTTGGTTTTTGCCATTTTGCTTAAAAAATGTTTTTTACTGCAAGAGCAAAGCAATTAAAGGAAGAGCTACAACAAACTGTAGCTCATTTTCAGAGACATCAGTCAACAAAGCGATTCTCATCCTTCAAAAACTAAAGCTGGTCTGCATGAGACAGCAGGACAACAAGTGCATCAGTTAAGCCACATCTTGCTAAATGAAAGTAAAGAGAACAAAAGTCTTGTGATGGAAAATATTTCATGTGAGGTTGGGTTAATCTCATCGTAAAAAATGAAAGGAAACGCGTGAAAAGTGTCCTCACCGTGAATATCATCCATGAAGTGTGAGAGCGAATACTCTCCTGAAAGGATGTTGACCTGCCGTCTCAGCGCATCGCCGAAAGGATGCTGCCCTCTGCTGACCACGTAGTAAAACACGCAGCCTGCAGAGAACACGTCCACTGCTGAGGTCTGTGGAGATTTGGTGAGAAGAACAATTGAGAATATCAAAAAAATAATAATAAACACAAACAGGAACACACGTGTGTTCAGTTTTACTTACAGGTTTATTCCCTGGTATATCTCTGAGTACTTCAGGAGCTATCCAACCCTCAGTTCCTGGTATTCCAGAGCGTAAAGAAAAGCTGCTCCGGCCGTCTGGGATCTTCTTACAGAGGCCAAAGTCAGAGATGAGAGCTCGGACTTGACCCAGAGCGTTTGGACCAGACAGGAGAATGTTTCTGGGCTTCAGGTCACGATGGACTATATCAAGAAAGAGACGGACAAACTTAAATTTCCAGCCAAAACAGAGTTTCTATGGAAGCAACAAATGGTCAAATCAGCACATGAATCCATTTCAGACCTATGTTGAGAGAGTGCAGATGAGAGAGGCCACACATGGTCTGCTCCAGCAGCGTTATATGATCCAGTTCAGGAAAGCAGGACGAATCCTCCACATACTGCAGAGAATACACACACACCATCAGCTACTGGTTTAAAGGATGCAGAAAGCACTCCGCTAACTATTGTGCAGCATTGACCTGTTGCAGGGTTGCAGCACAAAGCTCAATGGCAATGTATGTGAAGAGGCGGTCCCTCTCTGTGCAGAAATATCTGATGACATTCGGATGCGTGTCGGATTCTCGGAGGAGCTGCACCTCTCGCTCAGCCACCTCAAAACTCTCTGGCAGGATTCTCTTAACAGCAATGTGTCGTCCATCAAACCTTCCCCTAAAGGTAAAGATCAATAAGAACATTTATCAAAGGAAGCTGGCATGGCGCAGGAGTTCACCAATTTTTTTGTTATTTGAACACAAATTCAAAGAAAAAACTGTGTATCTTGGGGATTTTATGTGTTTTACAACCATAATATAATTAACAATCATGAAATATAAAGGGAATTTTTTTCATTCAAATGTTAAATGCTTCTGATTTAAAAATCTATCTAATTATCAGAGCCGTTAGTCTTATGGGGTCTGTCTCCACCAACTTGCTCAACTCTAGTTTGCATAACAGATAACGCTCAGTCAGATTGTGCAGTAAGCTTTATTTTCCAAGGCTTACCACAGCTCCTTATTAGAATTTAAGTTTGAGCTTTGACTAGGCCATTCTTAATACATAAATATGCTTTCATCGAAAGCAATGTCCTGTAGCTATGTTTATATCTTTAGGGTGATTTCCTGTCGGAAGATCAACCTCTACCCCACTCTGAAGGGCTCCAACTGATTGCCTTGCTTATTTTCGTAGGATTTTTTGCATTTTTGTTTCATGCATTTTTCCATCAGCTCTGACCAGTTCCTGTTTAAATTTGGTCTGATCTGACCAGAGCACCATGTCCCATGACCCCTACCTGAATCAATGCAATCAGTAGCTGCATTTCCATTAAAAATCTGAGCAAAACTATACTGATATTCTGCTCATTTTGAAATGCAAAACTTTGTGGCATTTCCATTAAATAACAAAGACGATAAAAATTGTGTCTGAATACATTTGTTCATGCAATAACATTGCAGCAAAACCAAATGCATCTCTATGAAGCCTGCATGACCACACGACACATCCTGTCGCCTCCGTCCAGCAGGCTGCAGACAGACCCTGTCACGTTAAAACAAGATAAATCCACGTTTTAGCCATGGGTTAAAGGGGCACCATCATCCTTCATCTTCATCTTTTTACAATGCAGTAAAGTCCAGTTTTCAGATCACTGACTCAGGTGCTGCAAAATAAATGTTTTTATTGTAACTTTGTAAAATATAAAAATGAGATGACCAACAGATCACCTCAGTGAAGCGTTAAAAACTTTTTATGGGAAAAAATCGGAGGTTTTAGTTTTTCAAAATTGCAGTGTTTCCATTTAGCATATTTCTTTTCGTAATCACAATTTGCCCAATTTGAGGGTTAATGGAAAAGCAGCTACTGAAAGGAAGTACTCCTGGAACCAGGGACAGGTTTGCCCATCTGAGAGGCAACGGATGGCCACGTTATAGTAGGCCTGCTTTTAGTTGTCCAATGTTTTTAGTGTTATTATCTTAACCTTGAATTAAGTTAGCGCCTAATTTAGACTTAGCTACTCTTTGGTTTGGTAAATCACATTTATGGCATTAAACTTTATGTTTTAATCAAATACAGGGCTATAAATCTATTTTAGCAAGTCATTCTATGCTCTCCAGGAATAGTACAGAAATAAACATCACCGTCTTCTGTGATTCGTTCAAGAGCAAGTCTTCCCTTTCTGAGTTTCTTATTATCAAACAAATACTCTACCTAAAGACAAAGGTGCCAGCTGAGCCATGTCCGAGCACATCGGTTGGTGTAAAGGAGATTTTTCCTACCAGCACTTCATTCCCGGTTTCCACCAATAGAGCTAAGGAAGAACAAATGAACAAATATGCAAATGTTGCTTGTTTTGTTTTTTTGTTTGTTTATTAATAATTTTTTTTTTTATTACCTAAAGTACTTGAAAGGATTTAGAAAACAATCTGATGGTTTTATGTCTCACCGGCTGAAGGTTTGTGATTAACTGAGCCGTTTTTATCTGAATCTGAAGTTTTTCTGTTGTGATTCTGAAGATTAGATGAATCATCATTTGATGCAGGTGGAGAATCTAAACAAAGAAAAACAGAAATACAAAAATAAATTGAATTCAGTAATGAATAAAGAACATTTGGTTCAGGAAGAGCATAAAAAAATATTATTTTTTGCAGAAAATACTGCATCCCATTTCTGAAGTAAAAAAGGAATATCACTGGTAAACACAGGAACAGGAGCCATTAAAGGTTATTTACCGCTTGTGCTGTTTGGGTCAGTCGACATGCTCCTGTCTGCAGAACCCACAGAGACCGGCTGAAGGCTTGTCTGAAAGCTGGTCTGCATTTGCTGAAGACGAGACTGAAAGACCTCCTCCAGCTGCCTCTGAGCTTTAAGCTGCTGGGCTTTACGCTGCAGAAACAACCATTGAAACCATTACCTCAGAGCAGGATTACATACCTGCACTTTATGTTATGTTGTTTTGTGACGTTTTCCATGTGCTGCACTCCAGTAAACACATTTCTTTTGTATCTTTGTGTTTTTGTGGGTCCATTTTCTATGAGGTAGAATTACGCACTTATGATAAAGAATGGAATAAAGCTTTGTTGGAGTACAGAAGATTGTATTCCTGCTTATGTTTGTTCCTTTTGGCCATTTGGACCTTGATAGAAGCAAAACAAACTGAACTGGATTTCCAATACAAAGCTCTGCATGGATTCAGGGTACAGTTGATTTTTCTATTTCACATGCCATGCATTCAGGCTGTCCTAGCACACAAATTGTTTTAAATGTCTTATTGTGCTCAGCAGGAACAGAAGAAAAGTGTTTTTCCCCAAAGGTTGATAAAAAAGAAAGATGTTATTGTGCTCTGAAAGCTTTTTCATGCATTGTGTGGGTTAAATTGTATTTTTATTTTAAGCTGTGAAGGAAGTATTGCAGAATTTGTCACAAATTTGAAGTAGGTGTGGAAAGTAGAAGGAGCCTATGAGGGTTTCCCAGCAGGTCTGCTCTGGAGTGTCTTATGAAGTCTAAAATGTCCTGACAGGAAAGAACATCATATTTTCCTCCTTGGATAAAAGAAAATGTTCTTGCAGAGTTCCTACCCTGCCTTCAAGCCTACATCTGCAATCAATCTTAGTAACCAATATGCTAAAGATGGCGATTAAGCGTGTGTAGATGGCTAAGAAAGAGAAAAGTGGGGGCAATGTATTAATCATAATCAGTATCGTGATTGCTATGCTATTAGAATTTCCTGTTTAGTTTTTAATACCATGCATCTCTACTAACCACTTTAGGGTTTCAAACAATCTGGGACCCTGGAAGAACATCATGTTCCAGATATGGTAGGAGCCAGAAAATTATGGGCTAGGTTTATGACCCCAGTCTGTACAGGAAACCAGTCAGTGAGCTGGTGGTCAGGTATCACGCCAGGATAATCCCAGATGTTCACTCCAGGCTATGCTAAGTGTGTGGTTACTGCGACTTGCAAAGGGATGTTTAATGTTCTATTTATACTACATTGCTATATCAAATCTATGGCACATTCAAATATATACAAACATAAAATCATTTGATTTGTATATTGTATAAAAGGTCAACCCTCTAAAACCTCAAATTACTGTACTTGTGTTATGATCGAGGGCTCTAAACAAACTGTTTTTCTTAGATAAAAAAAATCTTAGCCACACAAAGGATTTTGGTGCCTGTAGAGAAATAGAAGCAGCTACCTCATATCTTTCACCTGCAGGAAGGAGGTTAGCAAACGTCTTTCAAAACTTAAAGCACTCAACTCTATTTGTTCACTGGATTGCTGAAAAGGCCGAAAAAAGAGAAGTCATCCGCCGTCATCTTGGTACTCCCTACTCTCACGGAATCACACCATAAAAATGCCTGTAATGTCAAGTAATGTAATCAATACATGTATATTAGATGTACATCATCAATTTAGCACTTTTGTCACACCATCAGATAGTATGTGTTTGCAGTGTTGGGAAAGTTCTCTTTCTACGTGAACTAGTTCAAAGTTCAGTTCACACATTTTAAAATGAACTAGTTCAGTTCATAGTTCATAATTCAAAACCAAAAAATGAACTAGTTCAGTTCATAGTTCATAATTCAAAACCAAAAAATGAACTAGTTCATAGTTCTTTTTTTTTTTTTTTCATATATTGCTCAATTACACCATAGCCTACTGTAGAACCCCAGACAGCAATTATTTTATCAGTTGTAACTCTGAAACTGTGCATCAGATTTCATCTTCATATCCAGTTTTGAATCCTTATCCAACCAGGGTTTACATTAGCATTGAGGGGACAGCATTTCCCCATTGTTGCTTTAACGCTTTGTTGCTGTCCATTCACTTCACACCAGTAGCAGCTGCAGCTTTCGCCCCTACAGTATATTCTCAAAAACATCAGGAAAAATGTGCTGCTTGAATGGTCTTTTTTATGAGTAATTATTAAAAGAAAAATAGGAAAGTAGTCTTTAAGGTGCAAATGTTTTTTTTTATTTTAATAATTTTTTCCATTTGAAATTCCATTTCAATACATACTAAAAAGGAATACTGGAATCCTGGAAAATTATACCAGGCAGGTTTAACAAACAAGTTACATGGATAGTAAAACCCTCAAGAACAGGGGTCTTCTATGTTTTCCAGACCAAGGACCCCCAAACTGATGGCGAGATGGAGCGGGGACCCCCTAACTATATATATTGTATGAAATTGTGTCCTATAGTCACTCTATTACAGATGGAGTAATGTAAAGAAATTAATTTCTCCCTGGGATTATTAAAGTTTTTCTGATTCTGATTCCTGGTTGTTGTGAAGGAAACGGTGCCCAGCTTGAAAGAGCTCCTGTGTGTCGCTGAATGTGTGCATTGATGACTGAAAGACATCTTTTGTCTCCATTTATCTGTTTACTACAGTGTGTTGATTTCATGTTAATGAGTATTTAAAGACATTTCAATTAGTGGGGGAAAAAATTGCAGGGGGGGAATATAAAAATATCAACTAACCATGCAGACCCTCATGCAGTACCTCCGTAGACCCCCTAGGGGTCGCGGATCCCCTGTTGAAGACCTCCGCTCAAGAAGATTTTACTAACACAAACTGAGGGACCAGGCTGAGGTAGGAATTTAAGGTTGCTGAAGTGCGGATTTTTTTACTGAAAGCCGGCGGGCAAACTTGTTGCCATCATTCTCACCGACCACCTGGTCATAAAACTATTTTAAGTGATCATACTGCTGCTGTGTCGCCTCCACGCTGCTGTGGCTTCCACACGGCATTTTGTTTTGATGACGCACGCGGCTGTAGGCTACGACACTGGTAGCTGGTGTTGCCAGATTGGGTGTTTTTCCCGCTACATATTAAGGCCTGTTTACGGTTTGATTTAGCCGGGGTTTCGCCTGGAGGACTCTATAGAAATTTGGCAACCTATTGAACGGAGCTGAACTGAGAGAGCGTGCCGTTCACAGACACCAGAATGAACGAGTTCACAATAACGTTCATCAGGCAATAATGCAGTACGTTCAGTTCACGTTCGCCCAAAATATGAACGAGTTCATGAACTTTCTTTCAATGAACGCGTTCAGGCACAACACTGTGTGTTTGTGGGTGTGTAATATTCGTAAATGATTTATACACTTTATACTGAACATGCAATGTGATGTGCCTATTTTGTACCATAAATTACAGTAGTTTACTGATGCTATAAAGCAGCAAGTGGTTGTCCAACCGATGAATTTATCTTTAATTTAAACGTTTCAAGGCCCCCTTGAAAATGAGAAAATGATCATTGTTTACATTCCGACCGGCCTAACTAGGGAGTACCAATATGGCCGCTGGTGACTTCACAGCACCATATACTACCAACAGTCTATCAGCAATCCAGGAATACATAGAAATCAGTGTTTTAAAACAAATGTAACATCACACATCAACTCACAAAAGGGAGAGTGAGCATGAAGGCAAGCCATCCTCCAACCAGCATTGTCAGAACCAGTGTCAGGTGCTCCTGGGTCAGGTATCCGGGCAGCAGAGTGGCCGGCCTCTGAGTCTGCCCTGTGCTCTTCCCGCTAAGCCCTCCATTCTTAGCATCCTGGTCACTGTGGTCTTTAGCAACGGTTTGAAACTAAAACAAACAGAAACAGACTTGTGATGAGAATCTGAATCCTTTCTTTAAGAGATTTCATCAACCCAAATGTAGATGATCTGTTGACTCACGTAGCGCTGATGGTAGTAGGAAGCAGAGGAGATGGGAGAGGCAGAGGGTCGAGGTGGGATGACCGCCTCAGCAGAATGCTGCAGGTTGGCTGGGAAATCCCTCAGCATGGTTGTGTGGGCTAATGGGGGGACCTCATGGTGGCCTGTAGTATTAAAGATCATATTGTCAAACTAAATTGGAGGGTTTAGTTCCCCAGGTCTTCTGAATGTCTTATATCTACAAAAGAAGACTTTTCATTGGTATAATCGGTTTCTAGTGAGCTCATTGGCAGGCATCCATGTTTTTCCCATTCATCATTGTTTTTCACTGGCTGCTGTCAAGCAGAGGTGGGTCTTTACCTATCAGCAGCCAGTGGTTTTTCTGGCTGGTCGTGCTCCCTGGTGGGTATTTCACATCAGTGGAAGGAGTGATTTCACATTCTCCTCTCTGACTGACCGTCACCCCTTCCGTCATCGGACCCTCGATCCGAGCCAGCGTCAGTCCCCGAGGCTACCATGGCAACAGAAAGCAAAGAGCAGTCACCGTACTGGGATCTTTATCCCTTACTCATCCTGTCATACCTGATCTGACCTGTGGTTGAAGCAAAGAACGTTATTACGTCCGACTTTTAAGGTGTTCGTGTTTCATGCTTACCACTAACGACACTCCACGATGGACCAATGAGGTTGAAGCATAAAGGTGGGAATCGAGTTTTCCCACATAGAGAGTGGGGCTGAAGAAAAGAAGATTTTGGTTTTTATTTAGGTGGCATCTGTACTTGTGCCTTTTAGTTCTCAATTCAGTTCCATCTCAGTATCTAAACTACATCTGGCTCACACAGTAGGTTTATATTAGACCAGACACATGCAGCGCCTTGAAAAGTATTCATACCGCTGTTCTCCTTGAAGTTCTCCACATTTTGTCATGTTTTGCACACAGTGTATGTTATGTGATTGTCCAGATAATTGTGAAGCAGAAGGAAAAATATACATGTTTTTAAATAAACATAATTTTGTTGACTGCATTAATCCCCTCTATCCCCCAAGAGCTGACTAGGCTAATCTACTAGATAGACAGATTTTTATTTCCACTGTCACAAGTAAATCGAACGTTTAATGGGCCTCCAAGTAAAAAAATAAGTTTAAAACATTAATAAAAAAGGGTATTAATGCATGCATATCAGAGTCTGATTCCATACTGCACATATTTTCTTTCTTTGCATTGAGAATTTTTACTGCACAAGTATAAAAACAGCTTGAATTTAATGGATTTGTACCTTTTGCCCGAAGGCAACAGTTCAAAGAAAAAGTGATTAAGATGGTTGGTGAACCTGATGAAATGTATTATCTTTCCAGTGTGGGGAGAAAATTATCTTTTCTTTTTCACTGAATCTTTTGGGCAATCAATGGGCCACGATGCAGCTGGTGTACAAGACACACATATAACATGTTAGTTTGCTCTGAATGGAGGCCATGGTAGGACTCCAGCAGTTTTTGTTTAATGCTGTTGCTCCTGATCGTTCTCAGGAGCAAGAGAGACTTTCTAGTAACAGAAACATGGCGGTGGCAGCATTATGCTCTGGTGAACCATTATCTGGTATCTGGAATTTAGAGAAAATTAAACACTCATCAGTTGCGCATAGCCTCGTGCGGACTGGAGGTTGACCTTTCTGCAGGAGAACTGTGCTAAACATGCAGCCAGTGCTACCATGCAAAGGTTCTGATCAGGACTCAGCTCTAAAATCCAATTCAGACAACCTGCATGGGGATGAGCTATTTATATAAAACTTCATCTCTGGATGTGCACAGCATGTAGAGATGTACCAAAAAAAAATTATAGCAGTGAAGGTGGCTTTACAAAGCATTGTGAAGATAAGGCTACAAGCTATGAGCAGAATTCCTTAAATGAACTGAAATATTTCCACATAAAAGAAAAAAAAAGTAATCTGGAAACAGTTCAATATAAACTCAAATCTAAATAATCCACTCATAATGTGTGTTCATGAACTCTTACATGCACAGAGTTGTTAAAGTTCCCTAAAATAACTGCACAAGACATGTTGTGCCCAAAAAAAAAATGTTGTGCACAAAAAAAAAAAAAAACAGAGGTGCACGTATGTTGGCTCTGACTGATCAGAGAATGGACCGCCTCCAGGTTCTGATAGTGGTTAACGTGTATTTCCTTCCTACAATTAAGCTGCAGGCTTAGCAACTCATGACGCCGTTGTATCTGCATTAGAGGAAGAGAGAGCAGGAGGAAATGAACCTTCGCTGCTCCGTCCTGCACAACAAGTTCAGTTTGCTCCAATCCAAATCAGAACCAATGTTTGGGACACTGACAGGGCTAAGAATCAGCATAAAGCACCTCTCTCAATCAGGGTTGGTTCTTTACAAAGATTTAAAGGGATTAAAGCAAAAAAAAAAATCCTGAGCCTGTATATTTTTTAACACAGGCAAGAAACTCATATATTCCATTGCATTTTCTTTTATCCAAGGGGGAATAAGTGTAGCAATGTACCATAATCTATCGACTTGAGCGAGAAACGAGAGGAAGTACCGCTTTCCTAAGACCCGCCCCCTTCTTCTTCTGTTTGGCTAAAACTGTTAGTTTCAGAGCAACCCTTTGATATCATTGGCTGACAAACATAAGGGGGATTTCAATTGTCTCTTTTTTATTTATTTACCGTCAATTTATTTCCAAGTGATTTTTTTTTTTTACCCACAGGCAACCGCTACGAGCCGGAAATCCAGCCTTGGGCTGGAATACTTTAATCCCTGGAATTAAAATTGTAAATCGTTTTTGATGGCTGAAATGTGGCAAAATGTCGAAAGGTTCAAGGGAGCCAAATACTTTCACAAGGCACTGTATATTAGTCAGGGACTAAGGATTTAAGATGAAAAAGCTCAACCTTTAGTGTTGATCTTACACTAGTTGGGTTTGTGCACTGGCTTGCTCTGTCACAAACTGATAGCTCCACTTTAACGTAGAGTGAGTTTCTGCCTGGTCTTTGGCAGAGGAGAAGGTGAGGAAGCGCAGCGTCTCCATGGCGAGCGAGAGGTGAGGGGCGTGTCTCAGTGAGTCTTCATAGTAGAGGTAGACCCCTACAACTGGTGAGCCGTAGTTTTGAGACCACAGGACGTCGCCTGAAAAGCGAGATAACAAAACACTTTAATCCCCAGACAGCTGAGATAAGAGTGAGGCAAATCCCATCAATCCTCCTACCTGATTCCCTGTCAACCGTCACCATCAGACCATCGCCGCTCGACACTAAATGAGCCATTTCTGGAAATATATATCACAAAGTTAGTCCTAAACTGGAAATAAATATAAAAATTAACTACAATCAACTTCCTTCCAGCAGCAGGTAGACGTTTTTTTTTTTTTTTAAAGAAAGCCATACAGTGACCTGCTTGCAATTTGCTGCAACGGATGTAGACCTCATCTTTACAGTAAAGATGAGGGCCTGAATTTTTTTTTACTTTATGCAAAATGGTTTCAAAATAAAGAGATGATGGGGAGTTTGAGGTACAGTATGTGTGCATCACTTTGATGTGCTCCTGCACTGAATAGTCATGGTTTGTAGGAATCAAGGGTGAATAATTTAAACAGTTTTTGTGCATCTTGACTTCACAAAATTAAATTGCTTCAAAATTTTAATGGGTTTTTATTTTTATTTAGTTTTGACTTTCTTCATTTTAGTTTCCATTCTTTTTTGGTATTTTTTACCTAGCTTAGTTTTTAATTTTGAAAGTGCTTACATTTCAATATTTATTGGTTTCTGGTGTAGTTTTAGTGTTTTTTGTAATACGACTTGCATATTGGGGGCAAATTGATAGAAATGCAATCCCAAATAAGGACAGCCTGCTGCAGCAATGATCTCCAGACCTGACTGGCCTACTTGCCATCAGCTAGCACAATGGAAACTAAACCTTATATTAATGCGAAACCAAAGAAAACTAAGCACATTTTCCCTTAAAATTCAGTTCATTTTAATTTGTTTGTAAAATCTTCAAAGTCTACTTTTAATTTTGGGATTGTCTTCGAGTCAATGAGTCGATGCAATCAGCTGGTTTTCCTTAGATAGAAAACTTTGAACCAATTGGACTGAATGATCTGGTTGAATTGTCTAGGTAAAGTGCCTTGAGATTATGTGTGATGTGCATTGGCGCTATATATATAAAAACTGAATTGAATTTTATTTCAGTTATTGAAACGTTTTTTTAATTATAGCTTTTGTCATTTTGTTTTAGTTAATAACAATAACCTTGCTGCAGTGAACTCATTATTTTCTTAGGCATCACTAAACTGTCTGCAAATTACATTTTAATACATTATATTACCTTTTAATAACCCTGCACGTTGAGGTAAGTGAAACCTCTGTACTGAAAGAGTGAAATTAAGTGATGTTATTAAGTTTTGCTGTGCAAGTTGAGCCACAGTTGCCTCTTCTGTAGCGGTGGTACATCTATGGCGTACACATGGCATGCGAGGAGAGCTACTTTGCAAAGAAGAAGCGGTTAAAATCTATTCTAAAACTAAGTAAAGTGGGTAGAGTTATACAGCAACAGACATCAGCTGTAACTCTGTCAAAAGGTGGTCCTGCAGCGTACTGACTCAAGATTCACAAATGCTAATGCTGCCACATTTTCAAATTAGTTTTTTTCTTTCACAAACTGAAAATTATACATAATTTTTTTTTATTTTGTAATTATGTGATATTAGGGTGTTTCTACCACAAGTCATTGAGGTTTACGGTTGCATTTTCACCAAATGTTTAAAACTTCAACAGGAATAACAACTTCATCAGGTAACTGCAGATTTCAAACATGTTTAAGTCTTTGAGGTTGCAGAGACGCAAACTGAATGTGCGTTAGGAGACGTACTGTAGTCCTGTTTCTCATCGTACGGATGAGCAGAGTAATCGTTGTACGTAGCGTTCCATCGAAGCTCCTGCGTCTTTGTATCAAACATGGTAACCATATACTCTGAAAGTAAAGACAAACATTAGCTCCAGACTCGATAGCCTTGCTTGCGAAGGTGCCATCTGTGTGTAGCTAACCGGTGCGTCCGATGTAGAGCAAGGGAGTGTTGGGACAGATGGACTCAGAGGAGGACGTGGTTAAACTCGTTTGCTTTTCGCCCGTTTCAGGATCCACTACAAACCAAACGTCGTGTTTTTTTCCTGTGCACACAAACGGTAAAGAGGTGGGTTATTTGCAAACAGCAGTCAGGTGAGTCACCTGTTTAAGCTGCACTGCTGTTTAGTGTTTAGTACAAGGTGTAGTGTTTAGTGCAAGTGTAGCTTACATAGAGCCAGGATATCTTTAAATGTTTCTGAATGTTTTCATAGGATATTTAAAAGCTACCGTTCAAAACGATGAGGCAGAAAGGGCCATCTAAAGCACCTAAATTGATCACAAAATGTCCTGGCTCCTTGGAAGATAAATACAGTTTGCCTTCATGAAGAATAATATCTAAAAGCCAAACAAATATCCAGAATTAATACGACATAGATCATCTCTGACCTGTGTACAGCATGCCATCAGAGCTTCTGCAGGGGGCGGACTGGACCAGCTCTGGGATGGTAAAAGGAAGTTTCTGTAGAGACAAATAAGCTACAAGTTTGCTTTGTACAAAAAAAAAAAGAAATAGACTAAACTACACTATCTTACCATCAAGCCCTCTTTGTGTTTTCCTCCAAGCACATACAAACTTCCATCATTAGGATCTGGGAGAAAACCAGGTCTAAATACAAAAAAAAAAAAAAAAAAACATCTACAATTAGCGGATAAAATCACCCAAATGGAATAAATGTTAAACCTGTGAGAATATGTCTTATTTTTAACAACAGCGCTGTATTTACAATCAAAGTGAATGATAATTAACTACAACTGACCAGACAGTTCTGCACAAATGTTACACTCCTTACACAAGCATTACAAGATCAGTAAATATTTAAGTAAGGAAGAAAGCTGGACCTCCAGAACTTTTCTACATTTTACTTCACAGCAAGCACTAATTTCAGAGTATTTCTCTGGGATTGATGAAAACACCATAAAGCCTTTTGAAGAAGCAACCAGATTTTCACATAAAAAGACTAAAATTGCGGCAACTTCTTTTTTTCAAACATCTCCCACTCAGTCAAAATTCAATTTTTGTCATTTTGATTAAGTTCTGAACTTTAAATGTTCCTTTCTAACACATGAGTCAGTTTTCCCAGCTTAAAGGGTTCTTTAAACAAGTTTTACTCCTGGATTTTTCCAATTAACAGGAGTAACATGGGCCTCTTGGTTGCTTCTTGAATGAACAATCTCTTTGCACGATTCTTCTGGTGAGGGTCATATTCTTTTTCCAGATTCTTTCAGAGTTTGGTGATATGCTCAAATCTTGAGATGTTTTATAAACTGCTTCTTCATAACTTTCCCCTTGACCTATCTGCTGTGTTCATTAATGTACTCAGAACAGCTGGATTTATACAGAGCTTAAAGGAATAGTACACCCAAAACATGATTAGCCTTCATTTTCTACTCACCCCCATGCTGAACAACACCCTGGAGTACTTTTTTGATATCTCAAATGCATCTGGAGATCTGGGAGGCTTCTTGCTGTCTGCTGACATTCAAATAATGGAGGTACCCAGTGCCCGAGGCAGAAAGGTCCATAAAAGTCCACAAAAAACGTCTCAATATTCCTCCATACTGCTCGTCCAATGTATTCCAAGTGTCCTGAGTGGGTAGCCTCCAGAATTTACTCGAAACAAAGTCATTTAGAATGTTTTTAGAGCATAAACAGTAGTGTATAGGATTTCCTGAAAGCGCGCACATGCGCAATCACGAGCCTACGGAAGCCGGCAGACCAAACCAGCGCATTCAGCTCGGCAAAGAACTCATGCTCTTCCTCAACACTGAAGTCCTCAGACATTTTTCTTTCGTTGTTTCTTTCTTTGCACAGGTAAACAGCACATTTCTTCTTCTACGCTTGCATTATTGGAAGAGCAGACGCTGAATGCGCACTTTCATCTGGTTTGGTCTGCCGGCTTCCGTAGCGTCGTGATCGCGCATGTGCGCGCTTTCAGGAAATCCTATACACTACTGTTTATGCTCTAAAAACATTCTAAATGACTTCGTTTCGAGTAAATTCTGGATGCTACCCACTCAGGACACTTGGAATACATTGGACGAGCAGTATGGAGGAATATTGACACGTTTTTGTGGACTTTTATGGACCTTTCTGTCTCGGCCACCGTAGACCTCCATTATTTGAATGTCAGCAGACAGCAAGAAGCCTCCCAGATCTCCAGATGCATTTGAGATATCAAAAAAGTACTCCAGAGTGTTGTTCAGCATGGGGGAGAGTAGAAAATGTAGGCTAATCATGTTTTGGGTGTACTATTCCTTTAAGCAGACAATATTCACTAATTAGGAGAATTCTGAAAGCTGGTGATTACAAAGAAATGTATACTGGAGTATCAGAGCAAAAGGGATTGATACAGTTGAGTGGTATAATTGCCAGATTTCTAGCAGCTCCAAGGTATAAAAACTAAAGCAACTATCCTGTTCTTTCTATTCCACAAAAATGCACCACTTTGTGTTGATCTCAGACGAGAAATCCCTTCAAATCCTAGATATTAAGATAAACAAAAAATAAAAATGGAGAAAACTTTAAAAGGCTTGTGGCAAACCCAACTCTCCTCTAGCTGCAGACGTTGTACCAAAGGTAACATACAGCATGTGTCAAAAAATACCCAGAAACCATTTATGAATTTAGAGGAGTGGTGAGAATCTAAGGACAGAGCTGTGTGTTTTTGTTTGTTTTTTGGGGTTTTATTGGATGGATAAATATGCAATTTCTTGATAGGGTTGGACGATATGGCCTAAACTTATATCACGATATATTTCTTAATTTTAGTCAATACGTCATAAAGAGAATCAAGGCCTCAGAAAGACAGCCAAGACTGGCCCCAACAGCTGCCTGTCCAAAATGATGACAATTATTTTGCAATCTTTATAAAATTCTTCTAATATAATATTTTTAAAACATCGTCTTTAAAATAAAAAACACATAAACAACAACAAAAAACAGAAACATCCATCAGTGACAAAAGCTGCAAACATTAACTAATGTATATGGAAATACTGAAAATGTCATATCACTGTAATTGAATGAAAATTTATATATTAATGTAAACTCTTGATGCTTCGATTAGTGGATTATTATTTGTCAAATGATCTGAGCAGATGCCCAAATATTTTTCAGTTTTAAAATATATATATTGTTATTAAAACCTCATTATGCCACTAGACTGCTAAATGTTATCTAAAATGGGTTATTAAAAAAAAAAAACTGAATGTTAGAGCTGTAACTATACAGTCATATGTTTACATCACTTTTTTTCATCACAATGTTTTTACCACTGCTGCTTCCCTTATCAAGGCTGCACTTTAAAAAAAAAATGAAATAGTCTAGAGCGCTGTACTTAACGAAATTTCTTTTTGCTCACACTTGTCTACAAAATGACAAAATAAAATCTGTCTGATGTCATCTAATATCTAATCTAATCTTCTCAAGTGCTTGCAATAGGTGAGACTTTGTCAGGCAGCAAACGGCGTGTGGGTCTTTTGTTTATGCAGGGTTTATTTGCCTTTTTACAGTTATAGTGTAAAATTTAAATAAGATCACAGAATTTCCATGAAGAAAAACCCTGCTTCACATTAAAGGCAGGCATAACCAGAGCCATAGATACAGAAGTGATTGCATATCATAATTATCGGATGCAAATCAAGCTGGAACCCTAATGAGAAATTCTTTATGCTAACTGCAAAATGTTTCATTAAGCTAAGGTTGTAAAGGATTTCTGCAGTAGAGAAGGATCCAGCCAATCATGTGTGTGTTACTTACTCTGTGAGGTAGTTGGGCACTTGAATAACTGGATCTGAAACATGTTTGAAATTATTATTTTTATAGAAACTTGCCTTATTACCATTGAAAAACTGAATAGAAATAGAGAAATGTAGACCTTCTCTTAGCGTCCACTTGATGTCTCCTGTCTGCTTAGAGACAGCATGCAGACTGCCATCCAGGGTGGAGACAAACAGAAGGGACTCTGGGAGTGTGACTGACCGGACTCCTCCGACCTGAAGCAAAAAAGAAAAAAAAAAAAGAAAAAGAAAAGTGATGACAGTTGCGTCAGGAGGCAGACGGGGTAGAGGTTGAGTCGCGCATTCCAAGATTTCCTGAACTGAACTGTCCAGCCCCACAGGGAGGAGGCGGTGTAATGTTATGTTCCTTATTGTGCAGGATATCCTGGTTCTCCACACCTCCTCTTACAAATACAGCAGTCTGTGATCAGAGTTTGAATGAGTGTGAGAAGGAAAAAAAAATCAATTTAACTTGAATCAGTAATGTCTTGATTTTTTTGTTTTTTTTTTATTTAATTGGAACTCATTATTTGATTTACTCTCTCAAAGGGACAGGAAAGGATGCATAGTTTGACTTTGAAACTAATCAGAGCTGCTCTTTATGTCTATTTGTTTTTTCACCACTTTCAAGTATTAATAAATTCATCCTTTCATATGTCACCCTGTGGCAGAACGCTCGAGCCATTTGTTAGAAAACTGTATGGATTAAAACGGTTAGAGAAGAGGATCAAATGTAGACTGATATGACTATTCTTTGTAATCAAAGATCTTGATCCAAGTTGTAATAAATACCATATGATCTGGTCCAGATGTTCTGTGATATTTTCCAAACTCTAACCATAATGAACTGGTACTGTTTTAACCTGCACTGAGACTAATAGCTAGGCAGGGCGTTTTCTTATGAGCCACAGCCAGCATGCATCTGCAGTACAGCCAATATACAATCGACATTAACAATAAAAGCCAGATGTGTGGCAGTGAAAATCACTACAGAAAACCATCTAAAGAAGACACACCAACAAATAACAGGTGCTGAAAACTTGTTTTATCCAAATAGAGCTGCAACTAACAATTATTTTGCAAATCGATTAACCTGTCAATAATTTTTTTTCAATTAATTGATTAATTATTGGATAGCCAAAGGTTCCTTAGAGAAGATTTTTAACGAAATTAAACTTTTCCTCCTGAGACGTTCTGGATAGATAATATTGGTACATGAAAACATTTCTTTTTATCCTGAATTCAAAATGTTTATACATTTTTTTTTTTTTTACAATTTTGATATAATTAAGTGGTTGCTCAGCTAAAGGCATGTTTCACAGTCTCCATACTCCAGTTAATGATTAATCGATTACAAAATTAGTTGACGATTATTTCAATAATTGTTTAATCATGATTAACCCAATCAATTGTTTTAGCCCTAATTCAAACCAACTTGTACCAGTTAAACCTGTGCAGAGAATCACTGTTATAAAGCTGCCACACAGTGGCTAAGGGTCCACAGATCAGCAACACCAAATAACATTTTTTTAGATTTGCTGATTGCATTGCTCAAGAATCCCTATATGACTATGTTTTAAAAACAGAAACTAATTAACTTTGAGTTAAAAAAATCTTTATATGTTCACAAACTTTCATTTTTTTTTTTTTTTGTCATTACACTGTCACAAGTACAGAGCAACGAAATGAACTCTGCATTTAACCCATCCCATTGGGTAGCAGCGGGCTGCCATTTTACGGCGCCCAGGGAGCAGTCAGGCTTAGGGACCCAGAGCGGCAGTCTGGGGGAGTGTGGCTTGAACTCAGAACCTCTGGATTCCAAGCTCTATGCCCTAACCACTAGGCCACCACTAAGCCACCACTCCCCCAAATGAATGAACATGAAGTGAAAAATGCGAGTCAGGAGAATCCAACCATGTGATACAGGCCTGTTAACAAAACATAAAACCCATGTTAGATGGCAAAAATCACAAACAAGCAGGCAAAGGTAAACTGATGGGGGGTGATCTTAACTGGAAGCAAGGCCCACAAATGTATTGCTTCAATGTTGATTTACATGGTAGCATCAGGCTTAGCCGCTGCATCAATTCTTACTTTACTCACCAGATTAGTTCACTTCTTTAGTCTTTTGTGATGTCATCAGCCCAAATATGCAGTTAAAAAAATACATGAATGTATAATGTCTTTAATAGATTTAAAAAATAAAAATAAAAACGTTAAAACATTTGCTAAACAGATTTTTCAAGAGTTTAAACATTCAAATTACAGCTATGTATCAGACTTGAATCGTGTTACCAACAAGATGATATTTATTATGTTAATGATATTTAACTTAGAGCAGTGGGCCAGTCATTGTTCTCTCTGTATCCGTGTGTCTTGGAGATAAACTGGTGCAATGTTTACCCAGTGGGCGTCAGCTGGTTACCTCTGTGTTCAGATAACAGGTGAGGCGATGGTCTGCAGGGGCGGAGCTAGATGGTGGCCAGAGGTGGCCATGGCCATCCTTAGGCAATCAGTGGCCACCCCTGTGCCACCTCTACCATTGTTTTCCCTCTAATACAGGTGGTGTCAGCAGTAATACTCTCAAGTGGAATATTCAAAACATTTTAATTTTTTATTTATGAACAATTACTTGACAACTAAAACACTTACGTTAATTATGCACATCAATATACTAACACTAAAGATGATATATACAGAATTCATGCTCTTTTCAGAACTAGATTTTGTGTCATATGGGCTAAAGAGAAAATTATGTTACTCTGCAAGTCATCTAAGAGTCTTCAGTAAAATCATAAATAACTATTTTAATAAAAACATATTAAATAATCAATTTTTGTAGATATTAGTACTTTTAAATATCAATTTTATGCAGAATGATTATTGATAAAAGTAGGTAAGTAATGACAATGGAAAAGTTGTTCAATCCAGAAGCCAAACCTGAAAGAATCATATCCACTATACCTTTCATTTAGAAAGCAGGGATGTTTAAATATATGTATCTAATTGTTAGCAAAGGTTGTAGGAAAGTATAGTTTAAAATATGGATTTGTGGCTGTTCATTTTCCTGTTGGAACATTGTAGATTGACCCTGAGGTTCTCGCGTCTATCCACATCCGGCCACCCCTCAATGTACAATGGTTATTGCTTGGCCGCCCACCCTTATAAAGATTATTTGGCTACGCCTCTGATGATCTGCCAAAAAACAAATGTTTTCAATGTTCCTTAGGGAAATTTGCTACTCCTTCTTAAACTAAAATGTGTTTATTAATGTTATGCTGTTTATCTTCCCTAACCTAACAACCCCCAAGCTTTTATTAGTGTTTAGTTCATTAAAGGCTACTAAAGCTTTTAACAGACCAGGTATTGGCGTTGGTCCAGTTTTAACTCGCAGAAATAGCGCTGATCAGTATGGAAGAGGATTAGGGCCACTGAAAAAATAAAAAAGAGGTAACTGATTTTTAAATTCTATTTCCGTATAATATGGGTAAAAAGTCCGAATTCTGAGTTCTTTCTCAGAATTCTGACTTCTTCCTCCAAATTCTGACTTCTTTCTCAGAATTCTGACTTTTTCCTCAGAATTCTGACTTTTTTTCCTCAGAATTCTGACTTTTTTTCCTCTTCCATAGATCAAGCTTTTGCAAAGTGGACCATTACTTTATGGAACAATTCCCCCGGAACCAAAACATAAGCAGGGACACTAAGCATGCAGGGTATTAGAAAACGCACGTACACACTTTGCTTTACCATCTTCAGGGAGATTTTATTTAATTTTATTTGGCCAATCAGCTGGAAAAAGTCTGCAAACGTCTCATCATCGAATAACTGACAACTTTTAGTAGAGCCCGAAATAGCCGCACAATCCCGTTGCGCAATTCCCCAGAGCGCAAAACGGCAGGACACCATTCTTACTGACAGCCGCAGACACAAACAGCCAGAAGTTACTCAGTTTACCTGAAGTAGTTCGCTTCCCAAGGACGACAGGAGCAGAGTCAACAGAAGGCGTCCCAGACCCCCCATGACCCCTAAAAAGCCCAGCTTCTCGGTGCTCCGTCACAAACACACACAAAGCTGTTAAACTAGCGACAGAGGTCTTGCTCTCTCTTCATATCATATCTTCATTTCGAACCTTCAAAGTCTCTAACGAAAGAGGGGAAAAATAAAAGTGCCGCTTTAAATCCATGACAACTTCCTTTCCTGTCACTTGTCCAACATTTCCGTGTTGGGACGGAACCTGGAACGTCCGAACTGTCAAGACTGAAGGAGAAGTGGGAGGAGCACAACTCGCGAAACAAATGTACAGCTGGCTTGACCAATCAGAAACGGCGTTGAGAACAGCGAGGGAGGGGCTATGGAAACAGCTGGAACACGTGGAGATAGACAACAGGACAAGTGTAAACGCAACAAGAACGAGTTTTTGTGCAATAGAAAAGGGTAGAAGGATTACTTGTTCTCTTTTTTACACATCCAATAGACACACATATACAGCAGTGATAGAAAGGGCTTTTTACATTAGAGATGAAGAGTTTGGTGGTTCTTTCTTCGTTTTTCTTAACTTTCTATTTCCAGAAGAGGACTGCAGTTTGTAGCACTGTTGTCTTGCATAATGAACTGAAGGTCCTGTGTTTGATCTTTCAGGATGGAGTTTGCATGCTGTCTCTCTACATTTCATGGGTTCTACAGTAGTCCAGCTTCCTCCACTCTAAAATAGAAAAGGACTGTCAGGATAACTGGCCCCTGTGATAGACTGGGAACCTGTCCAAGGTCTTACTTCTCAGTTCTGTGCTTCTCCATAACTTTGGGATTAGGGAGTTCTGTCTTGCAAAATTATTCTTTTCTACAGATGTTTCTCGACATAAATCCCAGCTGGGATATAAGACAAAATCCATAATAACAAAATCCAGACCCAGATTTTTCAGTGGAAATACTCAACTGGTCTGTTTTTTTTAATACTTGTTTTCTGCTTTCCTTATTAATAGAAAAATAGCTTAAAGTCTGCTTCATTACACTTTATGTAACAGAATTTTATTGACAGATGTAATTAACATTTGATCTATTCAGTGTGGACTTAAAGATGATTGAGCTGTATGTCATGACCTTAAACACTGAGTGCAGAAAACCCTCCAATGCACTATGATGATCATAATAATAATAAAAAAATCTCCAAGGAGTGGGGGTGGGGAATCCCTCTGATAGGATTGTAGGCTCCTCTCCTATCGGATATACTTGGGGCAGCCAGATGTTTAATTTAAGACCTGGTTCATCCAGATAAAATTTCCCCATCTTGATAGAATAGAAATTCACTTTGATTTAATTAATAAATAAAAGAATCATTCAAAAGCTGCATTTTGTATTTATAAAATAGTCTATCTTAAACATTTGACTGTGATGGAGAACAATAACAGTGATACTTCAAAGCACCTTACATGGTTTGTTTCCAACTGAAAACTTAAATTTTTGTCTCTTTTTTAAACAAACTCTTCTATTTAAGTAGATTTATTTCTAAATGCTATCCTTAAAGACATGCCCCCTGAGTTTTGAAACATTTGTCAGGCCTGTCAGTTTAGGTGGAACACTATAAAATATGTATATATTTTAAATATTTGCTGCAATCACACTAAAACGGATTTATACCACCCAGTTACAATTGAGTGCAGTAGTGTTTACAATTGGATATCCACTTTTCTCTTAGATTTAATAAGAATTTATGCAGCTTTTCTTTTTCTACCAACTTCTAGCAAGAATTCCTCCTTATCAGATGCTTGACCTTCCTCAGCCGGCTCTTTTTGATGACATCGGAGAGGCAACTTGGCCCTAAACTCCTCCAAGATAGAAGGTCATGCTCAAAGTACTCATTCAATACATCTCAAATAACAAAAAGATACTGACACAACCTAAATTAATATCTCAATAAAGGACAAATGATTTGATAAATTTGTATATTGCTTAGAATGAAAAAAAAAATGTTTGTCACGTAATACAATAAGTTACTAGTATGGGCTCTCTCTTCATTTTCTTGTAGCATATTCCCCTTTAATACCACCTGATCTTCAGATGCCTTACTAAAAATAGAGTACTATTCAGAAAATACTCTTCAAAGTGCCTCTACATGGGGAAAACACACAGAGTTGATGATGAAATTATGTTATAAAAGCAAAATAAAATAACACTGATAGGCACATTTTTCATTTGAGGTAAGCTCAGAAACTGAGACAGACAGCATCACAGACTGGTGCAAAAGTGGCAGCATGTGACTGTGTACAGGTAGGCAACATGTGGGTGTCCAAACAGGGCATGGCTCACGCTGTTTAGCTCCATGCAGTCTGCTACTGGTGGAGCACGCTGTCTGGTACTGGGTAGCCGAAAAGCTTAAAGTCCGGTTCATATAGTTTATAAAGCTCTCTCCTCTCTGAAACGGGGATCTGTGCAAACCAGTCCCTTTCCCAGCTTGATGCCGTACGATTTCTAGGCCCTGAAGGGAACCGCACCAGGTGATCCACTTTCAGCAGCTTCAGCAGTTGCTCTGAGTCTGTTTCCAGGGTTTCTAGTCGTCCGATAAAGTCATACTTCACCTGACAAGGATGACACAAACGGTACACCTGCAAAACAGAGAAATCAACGGCAGTGGCGATCAGGGAAGCAGATAAACATGATAACAAATCACTTTTATCTCTGATAGCTTTGAGTAGGGTCTCTTCATCAGTGTGACAGCCTGCTGTGTGGTAACTTTTACATTTTTCATTTTCAAAATGAGTTGCACATTTCATATATTTTCTTTAGCCTGACTTTAAGTTAGCTTTTTGCAGTGCACACATTTAGTTAACTTTATTTGTCAGGTTGTTTTTTTGTCAAGATGCAATTGATGAATTTCTTTTTTCTTTGTGTTGCCAGTTTCCTTGGGATCTGCTGGTGGAGGGCTGCAATGGGCTCTAGCTTTCCTCAGTTGTTGCAGGCTAATCAGCGGGTCAAACCATTTGTAATGGGAAGGGACATTTGTTTATAATTTGTTTAAATTCTTAGTGTGGGTAATGTTGTTAATTAGTTAAATTTAAAAAAATATTTAGTGTCTGGCCAGTATTTATCTGTTTAATTAAGTTTATTTGTTTATTAGTTTGTTAGTCAGTTATCCCCCTTGTGTGCCAACAGTGGTCTGATCCGCCACTATTTAAGTTTCCTTCATGTCCTGTTTGTTAGGTCAGTTTGTTCTTCAGTTCTTTATGTTAAAGTCTGAATTGAATTCTGTTTTGTTGAATTCTGTATTGTTGACCTCTGTTTTTGGGCCCACTTCATCATTTTTTGAACATTTTGGGAATAAATGAAGACTTTTTTTGAAACATTTCAGTGGTTTTCTGGCTGGTTTGTGCAAATCCCTCACAGTCAGAATACTTTAAGAGTTTGACCTTAAAGGAAAAACTCAAAGGTGTTGAACCGTTTCACAAACTGCCGTTTCGAAGCAGAGGAACAATACTTCTCTGATACAAAAAAATACTTTCGAGGCACCTGCTTCTAAGAGATTCAAGGATTTTTTTTATTTCTTTGCAGGAGTTACCATTGTTATAGTATTGAATTGTCAAAATGATGTGGGGCTATACCATTACCTTATCATTTACCATATATTAAAAAGATACTGCTGGGTAGGAAAATGGTTCTGGTTTGTGGCTGACTTTCCCCCAGTGACCAAAAACTTGTTTCATATGCAGAATCTTGGCTTCAAACACACAACCATAAACCAGGGAAAGAGGAGACAAGAGTTCCTTCCACTGTTATGACAGATAACTCCAGCTTTTAGTCAACAGCCAGACCATGGAGGTAGATGTCAGTTTTAAATTGAAAATTTTTCAGATAGTAAAATGCTTAACTTTGTTTTAATCACTTTGGTTATTACCTTGTAGTTATAATTTTTTGACAAAAATGGGAACTTTTTCTATTGTTCTTCAAGCTTTTAAACACACTTTTTATTTTGAAGTAGCAGATGGCCATTTTCATTTGAGTCTCTGAGCTAAATAACAGTCATTTTACTATATCCCCAATGAAAACTAGCGTAGGATTAGCTTAAAGTGGGATTCCTTAAGGTTTAAACATGTTCAGAGAAAGCTAACTGCAAGTGGATTTAATGTTAGAGCAGAATAGCAGACAGAGTCCTTAAAAACACTGAGATAAGAAACACTGCAGTACATTTTTATGATTATATTTACTTGTCTGCAGCTGTGTTTTCCAGATTGCCTGCAAAATGTACTCATGAAGTCTTCATTTCTAGATTTGCAGTGTAAGGTTATTGTTCTAAGACCTTTCTCCTGAAATCCTCACTACCACAAAAAATAAAAATAAAAATCGGTGTGATTTTTACTTCATAAAGTCACTTGTTCTCTTTATGCTTGTTTTTGGTTGGCCTTTTCCTTTTATTCATTCTTCCTTTCATGTTTTCTGACATATTCCTCGACTTTAAAAATCAGCTAAAACCATAATCACACTTAAAAAGGCTATAAAGATTAACCTGTGCTTAAGTTCCTCATCCTTTAAAACTAGCATCTTCCAACAGACGTTTTTTTATTTTTAAATAATATGCATCCCTTAGATGTAGAGAATGATAAATGTCTGCACACTTAAGTCCCCTTTATGTCAGCATCAGTGCACTTAAACGCAATTCACATATAATAATACAAAAATCTATATTTTCTTTAAGAAGAAAATGACACTGAAGAAACAACCACATTGTGAAAAATATATTTTATAATAGTTTATCCTGGATATGTTGCCATGAATATCATACTGAGCAGTACCTGCCGCCAGTGCTCGTTAAAGATGCTCTCCTTCTCCGTTTGTGGATCCAGGAGGTATGTGATGAACTGATGAAACGTCGGTTTGAGTCCTGCTGCGAACGCCTCGGCAGCTGACTCTGCTAAGCTCCCAGACACATTGCCATAGCGACGGAGCATGACTGAACCAAACTGCCGGAAAAAGTCCTCGTTGGGCCTTAATAAACACAAACATACACTGATACGTGTGCTTCAGCGGTTCATTAAATGAGTGTCAGGGTTATGTTTACATGGACATTAGGTACACACCTCCCAAACTTGTTCCTGAACGCAGAGATAAGGCGCACAAAGGGGTCTCGCACGAACAGAAACTTGGTGTAGCGCTGAAGCTTGAGCGCCATCAGGTGGTGGGAAAGGGAACCGTAACGACGCCAAAACCTAGACACACACAGAGCACAAGAAATAATTCATTTTCCTCTTCTTTTGATTTCAAAACTT